AGACAGGTGGAGCCACTGAGCTAAATCCCTGGCCCAATTGAGACTTTTGTAAGTTTACAAAATTCCCTGCTCTTCTCAACAATATATAAGGATGATATTCACTACCTTCCAAGTTTACTGTGACACTGGGAATAACTGATGTATCTGGTCTGTAATAATACTGGATAAAATGTAGCTAACTAGATAATACTTTTGTAATCACAACATACCAAGAGCATTATTAAATGCTAGGTAATATATATCACTATTTAAAATTGAAATTAACAAAGGATTTCATTCTGCAATACATAAATTCAATTACTTTGGGATTTTTTTAAAAAAGAGTCCTCTTACTGCAAAAAATCACTTTGCGTTTGTCCTTATAATGTGTAATATGAAAAAAATATAATGTTTCACATATCTAATCTTCATGGAAAACCATTTGAAAACATAATGTTGCATGAGGTCACATGATTGCTAAAGTGGCATAGTTCTGGTCAGTTAGAACCCAAAATCTCATGTATTCTCCATAATACTACTCTGCCCTGCCAGAGGATTGTTAAAATTTAGTTTATACAGAAGTTTGTTGTGCTATTTAGGTCATGTGTTCACCATTTTCATTAGTATATTTAGTAGCCTGGCTGTATCTATGGGCTCTCTTAGCAGTCTTAGTATTACAAAGGAAATGATCACGATGTATTCTTGATAGCAGGTAAAATCTATTGCTTGAGATATTCTTTTGTTTGTTTTTGTTTTATTTGAAATGTTTTATTGAAGGCCAGGCTTTTCACACACCCATCAGATCCCTTTGCTGCCAAAGACAGATCTAAGTGGCTCCCTGGACATTACAATCCTTTTATGAATGTGAGCAAAAGAGGAATTATATTTGTCCACAAATTAAAATGGTCTTTGTAAAAGAAAATCAGGGAAACTTGAAATTCTAGAAGATATTAAAAGAGCTCATCATGAAGTTCTTGAAATAAGTTATACTTGGTTTTCTCCGCTTTATTACTTGAAAACAGTTTGGTGCTAACTGGTACTGTTCCTTTTCTACCCATCTATGGTATATAGATAGGTTAAACGAAATTGCATTTGTCCTACACTTGCTCCTTTAGAAGAAGCCAGAAGGTATAACTCTAGTGGCTTCCAGCTGCTGAGCTGTTCGTAAACATGCATCAATATCAACTCATTTCAAGCAACAAGCTGAACCTTTCCTGGAACAAATTACATTGTGAGGCTTCTCAATGAAATCTGGTTTCTGTTTTAAGGTACAGGTTCAGAATATGTACAGATGATACGTGTCTGAACTCAAGGCTCATTGTATTTCAGATTTTCTAAGAATTGCAGGTGTTCAAACAGTTCTGTTTATCTTAAATTACCACCTAAGATAGGTTTTCTTATAAATTCTTTTAAAAGTGGATTTTTATGCTAAAATTTTTAAAATGAGCTACATGTAAGCATTCTTAAAATTAGTGCTTGCCAACTGGAAATAATAACATTCACCTGCTATTTGCATACAATGCAGTGCCATTTCAAAACTACCAGTGATTCATGTTACAAATGCAGCTCTTTTTAGGGCAGTGTATGAATGATGTTAACAATATTCCTTAAAAGGCACTATTTGATCAAGTATGTTGAAGATGGAAAGATGAATAAATGCACTTGTCATATACTCAAATTACGGTCAATAAAATGTGTTCATTTGGCTATCACTATGTCCCTGCTTTTTGCTGAGTCAATAAATCACACGGGCATCAAAAATCACTCTGCTTTACATGAAATAGCTACACATTTATACATTTTTTTAAAAAGGAATGTAAAATCACTGGATTATACAGTCCACTTGATGTTGAGCTTAGGGTGTCAACATTCTATACACGCTTGAGCCATCCTATTAGCTCTAAAGTTTCTCTTATATGTTATGTCTGTGAAATCCTAACTCTATTCTATAAAAAGTTATCAAAACTAAACATGAGCAAGCAGAAACCTAAAACTTTACTACTGCTTTGAATAAGATTGAGGATTTATTAAAAGGCCACCCAAAACAACACTGGGGAAAATCATCCTTAGAAAGGAATTCTGTGGCTTGGCAGCCACGAGTACAGCAGATTGTAAACTTCCTAGCAAGCATACTTTTTCCCTCTTTTCCCTCACGGATGACAGTCAATTATTTCTTTTCTCATTTGTGTCGCTTTTTTAATACAATTTAAGATGAGTGCCTGCATTCTCCCCACACACTGAATTGGAACACCAGAGAAAAGCATTTCAGCTGACTGACAACCAGATTACGGTTCTTACTAGGAGTGCTGACGCAACCTTTAATACACCAGGACACAAGAGGCAAGGTTCTGCCTTCGCTTAAGACCATAAAATGGGTTATAAACAGCAAATGGTGCATATTTGGTACCAAAATTAAAATTAAAGTTTAAAAATAATGGCTCAGGCAAAAGTTTCAGTAGAAACTGGGCCTAACTACGACATACTGTTGTCAAAAGAAACATTCCAGAAATTTTCCATCTGTAAATACAAGTTTGCCTCTTCCTGGCAGTTTTAATTTTAATTAAGACAAAGGTTTTTAATTATGCCATGAAGATCCTGGTGAAGGGCCTTCAGTAAAACTGTCCTTGATGGTTCCTCCCAAGGTAATTCATTTCGAGAGAGACTGAAGTGGATCTTTTAAAATCTTTAGAGAAGACATTTCCCTCCCTGCCTTCTGCCACTCCACACAGCAAACAGACTGAAAAGAGCTGCCTGCCTTTTGGAACATGCGAGAAAAGGATCGCTGGTTTTGATTCAGGCGCGCCCCTCCCCCCTTCGTTTCAAAACACTGGTGGACAGAAGCTTCAAGTCCACAGGACATTTTAAGAAAGCACATTATGTAAGTGGAGACACAGCAATTTTCCACATTCTATTTCTTTTCCTTCACCCCTCCCCCACCTCTCAACCAAGGAGAGCAAAAGTAGCTGCTACTACAAAAAGTCCAGAACTTGTTCCAGACAGCCTCCAATAAAACCATCTCTATTTGCTAAGCATTTGCTTACAAATGCTACCTTTTCTGGGCTAAAAACTATTTTTTAAGCAAACTAGTACTAAAACTGATTTTCAGGAACCAAAACAGAAGTAAATGACGAGGCATGAGCATATTCAAGAGGGTAGAATAAAAGCGCGGGAGGGGGTCAGAAACTGCCTGCTTGATTTTTACTTTGCAAGAGTTTTATCACCACTATATTCACATTAATCTTGTGTCTCTCTATTTCTTTGCTTAGAAGGGAGGAAAGCTGAAATAAATGAGTATGAAGGCAATTAAGGGAAGATTAGCAAACACTGCATACTGCTCAAACAAACTTGAGCTGGCTTCCACCCATTCTCTGAATTCCTGTCCAGGAGAAAAGGATGACGGCCTGAAAAGCAAAAGGGAATTGAAGCTGGTTTCTCTAACCTATCTAAAGTCTTTATGCCATCAGAGGGCTATTATTTCAGGAGACAGAGAGAAAGGGGGCAAAAGATTCACGTTGCTAAGGAGACATCCCTAAGCTGGCATTCCTACATAAATTTCCATTTCTATTGAAGAGGGAAAAGAAAAGATATTTTCTCCAAAGTTTATTTGGATCCCCTGGTTACTGAAGAAAGGAATTTGGCCGGTTTATTTTACCTTTAGTTGTAAACAACCAACCCCGAAAGAATTAAAAGACCTAGATGTTGACCTCTTGCTGCCAACCAGTCCCCTGCACAGTGAATTAATCAACAAAGACGAAAGCCCTCAATGGGAATTCTGAGGTAATAACAAAGAAAAAGCCTTTTGTAAATACAAAATTAAATTTATGGAAGGAACCTAACCCAGAAAACTAATCTGTCTTATAACATGAAACAAAAGACAAAGGAAAATCAGATTTTTGTGCTACTTCAACTTTATTAGAACTTGAAAAGGTTCCAGTAGAGCTTTATAAATAGTCTCAGAGAAGACTATGAAACTGTCAGGAACGAATTTAATGAGTTTCTCAGTTGAGTGTATGTGTGCCCGCGCGCGTGCGTGTATGTTGTGTGTGTGTGTGTGTGTGTGTGTGTGTGTGTGTGTAGAAAAATCACTGGCAGGTCTTCTCCCTTTATCCTGCTTTCTCCGTGCGGACAACAGCAGGAAGGGAATGAAAATTAGAGAGGAAGAGTTTGCGCAAGAAATGGGAAGTTGGCCGATTTCTCTTAGTTAGGACCCCGCGGGAAGGCAGCTAGAGAGTCTGGGAGGGAATAAAGCCATAAAGTCCCCTGGGTCTGGCAGCCCCAGTGGCCACCTCCTACTTCACCTCCTATCCTGTTCCTTCGCAGCTTTCAGTGATCTCTGAATAAAGCACTTTCCAGGCAACTGTGTGTAGCTCAAGGAGAACGGAAAGAAAGGTCTGGGGGAGAGAGGAGTTTCTTACAGTGGTGGAGAAAGAAGGAATCAACAACGGAGTCACCAAAAAAGGAAGGGAAATCGAGCCCGTCTCTCCCAGCTCGACATACCATCTCGAAATTTAAAGAAATAAAACTCAAATCGAAATTCATTTGGGAAAAAACAGAGAAGGTTGAAGTCGGACAGGCAGAAACGTGGGCTCTGAGTGGTAAACTCTCAGGCAAATTCCTCTTTGAGAGACGACGAGGAAGAGGGGAACACCGAGCAGAGAACCCACACATCTCGTTGGGGTCAGGGCGCTTTTTGCCTGTATCTTTTCCACAGGGGTGTGGAAAGCGTTACATGTTTTACGCAGCCACTTGGTTCTCTCCTTAAATGATAAGTCACCCAAAATAGCACCCAGTTACTCCAGAGCGTCGGGTAGGGAGCCGGCCAGGGCAGAGGGACGGGGGGAGGCGTCGCTTGAGGTTCGGTGACGGGGAGGGGAGCGGGGCTCCGGCCGGCGGGGACGGGCCGGGGCTGGAGACCGGGGGTCGCCAAGCAGGGCCGGGGCGGCCGGGGCAGGGAGCCGGGGAGCGGGGGAGGAGGCGTTAGCCGTCGGGGGAGGCAGGGGTCGCGCGCGCCGGGCTCTCACCGCTGCCGAGTGTGGACTCGCAGTGCCAGATGTCCAGGCTGGCGGGTTTCCGACAGGACTCCCACAGGGACAGGTAGTACTGGTGGTCCGCCGTGACCCAGGCTGGGCTCAGCACTGCGCCCAGGTCCAGACACAGCGCCAGGAAGATGCACACCAGCCCGACCAGCTTCAGTGGGGTCAGCACCGATACGCGCACCTCCTCCATGCCGCTGCCCGCCGAAGCCATCCCGGACGTCGCCGCCGCCTGCCCCTCGAGAGGCGAGGACACCTGGCAGATCCGGAGAGCCGGGGTGCCCGACCTCGCTGCCCGGAGAGCGGCTGAGCTGCGGCTCGTGGGGACTCGTCCGTCCCTCGGGGCTGAGCGCCTCGCGCCGCCGCGCAGCGAAGGGGGCTCTGTGAGTGCGGCTGCCGTGTGCGGGGGACGCCGGCGGCAGCAGCGACACCGATCCCGCCGCGGTCCTTCTCCGTGCGCTCTGCCCGCGCCCGTGCCTGCTCCTCCCCGAGTGGCCGGGCTCGCTCCGCCCCGGCCCCTCCCTGAGCTGCTGGAGGCGGTGCCGAGCTGGAGGAGCGGCGGGTCCGCACCCGCGCGGCGTCAGGCTCGGGCTCACGGCTCCAGAGGCTCCCGCCTGCCCCACTCTTGGCCCTAGCCCTCGCGGGGCGCAGTAGTTGTTCCAGGCGGCCTGGCCGGTGGCTGGCCCCTGACTCTGGGGTCTTCTCACTCCCGTCCACTCCCAGTCACATGGATTTCCTTTTCTAGGGACCCGGGGTAGGTCGTTTTCTAGGAGGCGTCAAATGTGTGATTCCTAGTTTTCCTAGGTTGTGGCCGTGGAGCAAGGATGGCTCCGCGCTCTCAGTTACAGAACACGGTTTTCCCAAGGCCAGTTTCACACTCCGGGGATCAGAAAAGGGAGGAGAAAAGTGACAGAGAGCTTTTCGTTCTTTTTTCAAACCCAGGACGTCCCAGGAGCTCCAAGATCCCCCCCCCCCACGTACACACACACACACACACACACGCGCGCGCGCGCACACACACACACACACACACACACACACACACACACACACACACACCATTCCCCGTGGCCGCTTCCCTTCTCTGGGCTCCTCTGCTTTTGCGCCCACTATGAAGGGCGTTTGCTCAGGGCACTCTGGCGCTAAAATGAGAATGAAAGATTCTGCAAAATGTAAAGTAAACCTTATTTGAATTTCCGCTGCTCAGACCTTTGTCGGTCAAAACCTTAATTCATTCTGCTTTGCATTATGCCGAGCTAGATCTGAGTCCCTACCTAAGTATTCAGCTGCCCTTGTCTTCAGCATGCTCTACTGCAGGGCCTACAATAGGGAAAAGTGGTATATCTTTCCTCTGGGAAAGTAATCAGTCTGCAAGTATGTATTTATTGAACACCTACGGTTTAAGGATTCAGCCCAATAGGGCATTATCTGGTTCTTAGAAGTTTCATATTGTTCCCCGGTGCGGAAGAACTAAACACCCCTTGAAATTGAAATTGCGGTTCTGTAATTGAATAATTGAGAATGTGATTGGCAGGGTGTTGACTACTTTCCATCTTTTATATATATGAAACAATTTGTTGACTGGGATTATTGGCAGAGGTTCGGGGAAGGACAATGTTTCTCATTCACCACCTCCAAAACTTGTTGGGAAATCCATACAGAGGTTAAGACGTAAATAATTGAAGAAATATCCTCTCACATGAGGAATAGTCATCCTTAGCACTGCAGGATGTCATACTTTTTGTTGGTTACAATTCTTTCTCTTCTAATACTTCTGGAGGAAAGCTACATTTTGTGAGTAAGAAACAATAAACTTAGTGTCTCATGACTTGAGAATAAGAACAAACCCTGTGAAACATTAAAAAAAAAAGTGTTTTACTTGTATTATAAGCCCAAGAACTGAAGACCGCCCCTAACCCGGCCATCATTCTGCTAATTACTGCAGGACCCTTAACAATACCTAGAGCACTCAGAGGGTCTTAACCTGGAGCTTCTAAAAGCTTCCAGGGTCAGAGGGGTTGAAGGGAGGGCAGGGGAATGGGGAAAAAAAATAAAAACTAAGATGTACCATGTACAGATACAAATTCCCAATGATGAATGTCATCATATTATATACCTAAAATGTACCAATAAACTTAATGAGTAAATGATAAATAAATAAAAATGAAAGCTTCTTGGCCTCCCAAATGAAAAGAAGCCTTGATGCAGTTCCTTGAAAACATTCCTTAGGGAAAACAGGAGCCAGAAAAACCAGGATGATGAATAGGGGTGACCAAGCTTGTGATGTTTTCCTTTTACATGGACTTATGTTTGTGGACTTATGTACATTCAAAAGTAATCTTTAAGAAATTTCCTTGACCGTATTTTCAGTTATAAAAAAACTTGTTCTCCAAGATATATCATTTTCCCTTTAATAAGTTACTTTTTAGAGTCATCTAATATTATCATTTTTATTCCCATTAATTCAGACTTTCTTCCCCTGCCACCTGTATCTCTAAGCCCCAGTCCTGATACCTGTTTTACTGCCCTTTTTTTCTGGATTGTTCTCAGTTGCTTACTTGAGTTACTCTATCTTTCTTTGTGCTACCTATCAACTTTCTCTATGCTATCTTCAAAATTAGAAAAATAAACCATTTTTAACAACAGAAAACAAAATTCTCCTAAAATACTCTTTCCTCAAATAATCATTTATTGAACTTACGCACCATAATGCAAATTAACATCCTTGGCCTTAAGGTTCAAAAGTCAAAATTCTCACAAGACAAAAATATTTTTTATTCTTTTTGTAAGTTTGTAGTAAACTCTTTTGGTGGAAAAATCTATTTCAAACTGATATGAAGTGAATTGGGGTTTTGATTTACCTCATTTAGTGTGAATAAGTATGCATTCTCAGACCCTTTTGGGCATTGTGTAATTTACAGTATGAGCACCACAGTTGCCTTCACATACCTGAAATATTCTCAATTTCTCATCACAGCCAAATTCCAAATTTTCACATGAGGTGCGACAAGCTGGTATTTATCTCAAAGATGGAAAAAATAGGAGGGGGAGGATGCCAACAGTTAAAAAACTTTGTGTGAAAACCTATCCATAAAAGTACCTGGCTGGAAGTGGGGTGGAAGATGAAAACTAAGATTATGTCAATATCCATATCTATCTTACCCTAGCCCAAATATATATTATATATTATCATATATGTGTATATATGCTATCACATGTATAAACATACAATGAGTGGGAGGAGTAGAAACAAGGACTGAAATAAAAGCCAGATCTCACAAATGAAATGGATCTACACTGAACTATGAATTAGAGCCCCTAGCTCGAAAAATTGACTCAAAATCTCTAAGAAGTGATGTGATGTCTTTGTTAACCTTACACTGTCATATCAAGGGCCTCTCCTTTAACTATATCACCAATCACCTCTGTCTTTGGACTCTGGGGGAGCAAAAGCTATCAGTTAAAGTTCCTAACTCTACCCCACAGTATAGGAGTTCCATGAAAATTGGATACTTGAGTTGCATTGTTGGGGAAAGATAGGAAGGGGTCTTTCTCTAGATCCTGAATTAAGGAACGTAGTGAGTCCCAAGCTTGAATCAGTGAGGCTAGAAAAGCACAATAGGTCAGTAGTGTGAGAGGTGAGGTTGACTGAAGAGACTAGGCAGTCTATCAGGGAAGTGGAATGTACCACAGTTGTAGTAGAGGGTGTGGAAGAGAAGAGGGGTGCATTGGAGACTTTCAACATGTCTTAAGACAACAGGAGTTATTGTCATGCTATAAGCTCACAGTCTATCAGCAAGGGCAAAGTCCCTGTTTGCTTGGGAGTTGAAATGTACAAGTAGTAAAGTGTAGTCATGTTGGATATACCCAGGGGACTTACTCAGTTAGGCAGGGAAAAATAGTTTACTGTTTTCAGGGATGAGCCCAGGACATCTCATACATTGCTCAAGTCACCAATTTGTCACTCTCATGGCAGCCACTGTCAATCCTAAACTCTACTTTTCGTGGGCAACAGGGAGGTGTCCTCCAGCTTTTTTGAAGTCCCACCACCACCATTAGTATGCTTCAGTCTCTGTTCATCAGGTGCAGGGTCACTTTCAATCAAGCTTCTCCTCCAAGACCCCGAGAAGGTCATGAAGTGCTGGGATCACTACAGTCATGAATGGTTAAGGTCTGCTTGATCCCAAGGAGGAAGGCAAAGAAAAGGGACAAATTGCCTGGATGGAAAAATAAGCAGTAACTGAAATATTAGCAATACTATGAACTATTTTTCCAGTTGTGTTAATTACATTTCTCTTGTTGCTGAGACAAAATGACTGACACCCAAAGTTAGAGGGGAAAGGGTTTATTTAGCTTCCAGTTTCTGAAGGTTTTAGTCCATAATCAGCTGGCTCCTAGGCAGAGTGGCAGATGGGCAACAATTCAAGGGCTGCAGAAGACAGTAAAGGCAACAAGGGAGTTTAACAGCATCTTTCTGCCCCTTTTATCTTATTCAGACTATTTAGGGTGGGTAGCACTCATGCCCTTAATTCTAGTGCCCTGGGGCCTATCTCCACCACGAATCAATCACACACTCTAGATTCAGCCAACTCTGAAAAAGCGTGAGGCTTTAGGGGTACATCTAAACACAAGCCATAACAACAGTGTAATAGGTAGTATGGTTTGCAAAATAGTTTAAGAATAAAACACACAGATGAATACTTTAAAGGTTTGCTATCTTCAATCAGTTCTCAAGGTCACTTCAGAACTGTAATGTGAGTGAAATCATGATATAATGATGCCTGTCTGTTACTTGTGGTAATTAATGAAGGTAAGCGAGTTCCAGGTTATTGTGCATTCTTGGGATTTCTTGTGTTGTGGCAAAGTTCTTGGTTTAGAATTATAAAAATAACTATGATGAATAATTAGTATTTCTGCTTTTTTACAAAAAGAACATTTGCAATAATTAAGAATTGCACATCTAAAAAACTAAATTCCATTATTTTATAATATATTTTCTGATTTTAAAATGTAATATTTTGTGGATTCAGGTAGATTAAATCAATAATTATACATTCACTATTCATATTATGTTTTGATGCTTTGATTTCAAGTTAATTGATGTTTCATAGTTGTGCCCGTGACCATAATGATTTGCTCACTCACGAAGAAAGGAAATAAATCATGAAAGTGAAAACACTAGAGGACACTGGAGGAGAAGGATGATTAGTTTTATAATAAATATGTTTATTGTAATGAAAAAAGTGTGAGTCAAATGCCCAGGAGGTTGGAATATGGGAAAATTAGAATATTCCCAGTGGTGCTAATTCTAAATGACTTTTCGGTCTTTTTCAAACATTCATTTCCTTAACAACAGTCCCTGTAGGCACAA